TTCAAGCCCATCTTTGTGTTTACTTTTTGTTTGCACAAGGCAGAGAGTTTACCGCTGCCAAGTGTGGTCTTTTTGTAAAGTGGGCATCTCCTTGGGCAGAGTGGTTGGTTCGCACGGCCTACGCGTGGCCATTCGGCTCTTGGCCCCTGACCACTTCATCACAGGCTGGATTGTTTGCCAGATGCACTCTTACACACGTTGACTTCGGAGAGAATTCCGGTAGACCCTACCAGTCAGAGAAAACCCGCCTAACATAGATCCCTTTCCCTACTGAAAGGGAAGCACCCCGGATTTGTGCGGTCATTCTCATCCGAGGTTGACAGTAGTACTGATCGTGACACTTGGCCTCTGGATGCGATCCGTCATATGCCTTGACCCAAAAGAACAGCAAAGCCTTCAGGCGCACGCTCCATCAGCGGCGCTGCTTGGGGCTCGGCTCTGGCGGCTTCGCTTGTGGTTGGCTTGTCGCTTCTTTGTCTTCGCTTTTTTATTGTCTTGGCATAGCTTTTGAAAGTTGCAAGATGATAATTCGGAGTCGTTTTCAGCCCGTCCTTTCTTGTCTCTTGGTTGATTTGTTCTTGTATTCTTCAGGCGTGCTACACATCTATTGACTGATTCGATGTTTCAAATATGCAAAGTATAACCTTCTCGCCTTGGTAGTTGACTTGCTACTTCCGCTTTGTCTTTCTTTACACCTGGAAGTGTTCTGACCATGCAGCGCTGTGTGCGAGCCGACATGCCGAATGCCATCCCCAAAAGACTCGCGCTGCGCTCCGACTTCACATGCCGGGCTCTAGCAGCCACGTTGAATACCGGACATTGGAAAGGTGGCACCTGTTCGGCCGAGAGTGCTTTCAAGCAAACGTTTGAAGGTTTTTTCAGTCAGCTATGCTGGAAAGCAGGAATCCGCAGCTTTGGATGTATTCGCTCCATGAAGTTTAGCATTTAGCGGAACTAGCAGTTCTTGCTTTGCATATTTCTACACGTTGCCTCGGCGCTTGTGCCATGAGCAAGCGTGCCAGCGGGCACCATAACCACCAGAATGAAGACAATTGGAGGCATGGGCTGTTGTTGGTGGAGGAAGCTGGAGAGGCATGCTGACTTGCCTTGGTCTTGCAAGGTTGATCACCATTTCCAGTAGTCAGTTTGGGTGACTCGGTGAATTTCTCAAATCAGGAGGCGGTTTTGGGAACAACATATTTTGATTGTGGCTGATATGTACCTCACAGCCTACCAGAGAAGCAGGGACCAGAAGCTCGCTTTGCTTTCAAGCTTTTTTTGGATGGAGAGGTGGTGCACCGATCGCCAGGTCCATCCTCTCCAGCGCTTTGGACGAGACCTGGTGCCCCAGTTTGCAGGCCAATCCAGTAAAGTGTGTGGTTTGAGGCTTGCATTACACGTCTCAGGGCGCTGTGAGCACAGCTACATTTGTGGGATTGCACATTTTTGTGTCGGATGGCTTGTAAGTCAGGGCACCTCTGAGCACCTTGAAGCTACCGGACAAGCGTGGCCAGGAAGCTATCGAAAAGCTGCCGCTGGATGAGCTGGACAGGCTGCCTCGGCCACTCTTTGGGCTAACAGAGTGGGGTCTGGCGTAACCAAGGGCCGAAAGGGCAAAGTGCATTGGACCTGACAGATGCCGGGAAGTTGTTTCCGAGAGCTATTGCAACTGCAGGCACCTGGTGTTTGAGCAGCTTCACCACTTCCGCGCCAAGCTCTTGCTCCCAGTGCCTAAGCACTTCAGGAGCACCAGGGTCTCATGAGTTTCTCAATCCGGATGGAAATCCTGGGACGTGTTGGGATGCTGGAAATACTGACATTAGCGGTATCACTGGCATCAACAGCATCG